AGAATAGAATAGAATAGAATGCATTGAAATGCAGAATGGAATAGAATAGAATAGAATAGAATTCTTTATTGGCCAAGTGTGATTGGACATAAAAGGAATTTGTCTTTGGTGCATATAGTCTCAGTGTACGTAAGGAGAATTAAATATATTCATCAAGAATAAAAAGATACAATACTTAGTGATAGTCAAGGTTACTAATAAGCTATCAAATCATACTAATAAACAAATAAAACAATATAAATTGAAAGATACAAACAACCTGGTTATAATATAAGTGGGAAGAGATAGATACTAGGAAGGAAGGGAATAATAATAGTAATACAGTCTTAGTAAATTATTTGAGCGTGTTGTGGGAATTAGTTAAGCAGAGTGATGGCATTTGGGGAAAAATTGTCCTTGTGTCTAGTTGTTCTGGTGTGCAGTGCCTTAAAGCGTTGTTTTGAGGGTAGGAGTTGAAACGATTTATGTCCAGGATGTGAAAGGTCTGTAGATATTTTCACAGCCCTCTTTTTGACTCATGCAGTGTACAGATCCTCAGTGGAAGGCAGATTGGTAGCAATTGTTTTTTCTGCAGTTGTAATTATCCATTGAAGTCTATGTCTGTCTTGTTTGGTTACAGAGCCAAACCAGACAGTTATGGAGGTGCAGATGACAGACTCAATAATTCCTCGGTAGAACTGAATCAGCAGCTCTTTGGGCAGTCTGAGCTTTCTGAGTTGGCTTTTTTTACTGACATTTTTTTCTTAGTTCATTAGATGAACTATGCTGTAGTTTTCTTTATGTATAAACATCATTTCATTGTAGAAATTCTTACGCGGTGATGAAAAACAAGAGTCCGTATTCGGAAAAACCGAAAGCTTGGTAGTATCTATTCCAAGTGGAATTCCTAATTTCCAGATTCTGAACACAACTTTGGAATATGTTGTAGGGCAAAAAGAGACCAAAATGTTCACATCTCTAAGATGTCTCTTGGAATGGAGATCATCTCTTCAGAAATGGGCAGCAGCCTGGGGCTGCTGAGTCCCATCCCCTACTCAAATGGGTATGCGTGTTGAGACCTTTTAGACTGTTTTGTACTGTTGTTTTGTTTTTGTTGTGGTTTTCCTTTTTGTATCGTCCTCCCCCCCCCTTGGTTTTGTTAGCCGCCCTGAGTCCCTCGGGAATAGGGTGGCATACAAGTCGAATAAAACCTAAACCTAATTGAGGAAGAGTATTCACTTTGTTGTTGTTGATGAAGGAGATAGTTGACTCTGGTCAACACACAGAATAATTTGAACATAAATCATAAGTAGTCCGTGTAAAATATGTATCATAGCAAGAAACATTCCACTGTCCACACAGACAGTGCGCAGGCTCAAATGAGATAATTGGGAACTTACCCATAAAGCCAGCCTAAATATATTATCACAAGTATGTGTGAGATAATATTAGTTTTAAAAAGATTCTATGGCACTGTAAACTCAGTCTCATTAGAGGCTGCATTTAAAAGGCTTATAAAGTTACTCATTAATGCTATCTGGTTGTATCTCCACCGCTTTTTCATTAAAGAAAATTCAGCAGAAAGCATTTTCTCTCGATAGCAGGAACCAATTTGCAATAAATGTTCTGGAAATCACTAGGGAAGCCATTACTGAAGTCTAATAAAAACAGACAAGCGTAACTTGTTCTATATTTTTGTTTCAATCACATACAGATGAGACCCCGCTTTCCACACCAACCACAAGAGACAGCCTTGACAAACTTTCGCTAACTGGCCACGGTCAACCTCTTCCTCCCGGCTTCCCATCTCCTTTTCTATTTCCTGATGGATTGTCGTCCATAGAAACCCTCCTGACAAATATCCAGGTAGGTCGCCACAGAGCAAGGCAAAAAAATAAATAAAAAGGTGCTGGGAACAGATGTCTTTCATTTCAACTAACACTTCCTTCATTTGAACTATTTAAAGGCAGCAACGTGATCAAACGAATTTTTCAAATCCACTTTTTTCTTTTTCTTTTTACAACTCTTTAACTCCATTATTCGGGGTGGAGTCGGGGTGACGGAATGTTGATGAGCATTTACTGGCCGCCACACTTCTTGACACCTACATGGAGTTCACAGTAGATATTTCCTCTATGCGGCCTGATAAAGAAACATCTGTCATTGCCTAGGATTGAACTTCTGAACCTTCCAAGCGAGAGGTGAGCGTCTTCACCTCTAGACCTTCACCGGTCTAAAAATCCACAAAAATGCCACTTATAAAATAGGCTTGGTGGGCAAATGTGCTGCTGAGGCTTTGGAGATTCTTCTCTGTTGAACAATAAAGTTTCACAGGGATCATCCTAAACTTCACAGAGGGCACTCAACTGATGGAGCCTTTTGGAATGAAAAGTTTCAGATGGCATTGATTGACCTGCAGAAATGTGCCTTTAATAAAAAGCTGCTTTAAGAATTTGGGTTTTAACGAAATGTGTTTGAGGATAAAGATAAGGGAGTTACTAGGTTTTCTCAAAATTTCCTAGGAAGGATTTGAAGTTTTAAGCAAGCACAGGGGATATTAGGCAGAAAAATCCCTAGGGAAGTTACCTGCACATTTATGGATCTTGCCTATTTTAGGTGGATTTTTTTTTTACAGTCATCTGATTCCAGGATGAAGCAAATAGCTGAGCATAACACTCCAAATAAAGCCTTCCAATATCTCCCTAGGTTTAAAAGAAGAACTAAGTATAAACTAGGAACTTCCCTCCTAGTATGAATATAATTTCAAGTTACTAATATTAGAAGCGACAGGAGGGGGCACCTAGTGGTGAAGACATTGGTCTTGAGAGTTCCACCCTAGGTAGCGGCAGATGATTCTCTCCTAGGGTGCAAAGCAGGGCTGAGTTCTGGCCGGCGTTACTGCTGGTTCGCTTGTGTGCGCTGAATGTACATTGTGCACGCATGCGCAGTTCAATAGAAATTGTTCTGCAGCAGAACAATTGGACAATCTGTGGCAGAACAGATGGCGGCAGTGATGACGGCAACTGGGGAACTGGTTCAGAGGCGTCTCTAGCCTGGATTGCTGCTGGTTCTGCGACCCAGGCCAGCATGCCACTACCAGTTCAGCTGAACCGGTAGCAACCCACCTCTGGTGCAAAGGGAAAAAAAAATCTGCTGTGAACTTTGTGTGATGCCAGGAAGGGCATCCGGCCAATAAATTCTCAGCTCCAGCCAGGTGCTCCAATTCTACCCTGAATTAAGGGATTGCAGGGCTGTCAAAAGGAAGGTTTAGTATTAAAAGAGACAAAATGAGAGAGAGGGCGGGAGGGACGGAGGCAGTGGTGGGATTCAATTAATTTAACAACCGGTTCTCTTCCCTAATGATTTCTTCCAAGAACCAGTTCATCAAACTGCTTAGAAAGTTAACAACCGGTTCTCCAGAACTGGTACGAACTGGCTGAATCCCACCGCTGGAGGGAGGGAGGGAGGGATGGAGAGAGAAGAGAGGTAGGGAACTTAAAATAGTTTGGAAGCTTAGTTTATACTGTTAAAATCCTGTAAGACTATGGAGCACCACATTAAGACTTTAATAGATTCAGGTAGATTGGGGTATCAAAGATTAATATAATAATAAACCATAAAAAAATAGCATTATGTCTCTCTATGAAAAACGGGAGCGTAATTATGTTCATAAATTTGTAAGATTCCAGACAGGAGAGGTGTACAAAATTAATAGCTGGTTTGAGAAAGGATAAAAGATATTTATTGTTTCTGTGTTATTATTTAGCCCTACACAGGGAGATACCTAATTCAATCTTATTATCCAAACGAAGCTGAAAATTGAACCGCAAAGCAAAAGCCGAGCCAGAATTCCCCTAACTTGGCAAAGTTCTCTCCAGCTTCCTGTCTGAGAACACTTTCGTTAGCCAAGGGAGACACCTGGCCATCCATTCCCCACCACCACACACACACACAAAAGAGATTTCTGATGATAGAAATGTCCTTGAGGGCAGCAGTAACAAACTTAGGGTCTCTAATGGGGAATATCAAGGCAGGGCAGAGGCATTCTGATTCACTGGCAGTTGGTCCATTCTTCTACTTGTGGTATGCTTCCAGGCCTGGAAAATTTAAAATTTTCCAGTCAAAGTAAAATTTTGTGGTTCTTTTGAGAGCTTTTCAGAACTTGTGACTATCTAAATATGATTTCACTTAGAGCCAGGGGTGGGCTTCCAAAATTCCAGTAATGGATTCGCTACCCCATTGCTGGGTAGGGCAACAGGAGCCGAGGTGGCGCAGTGGTTAGAGTGGAGTACTGCAGGCCACTTCAGCTGACTGCTAACTGCACTTCAGCGGTTCAAATCTCACCGGCTCAAAGGTTGACTCAGCCTTCCATCCTTCCGAGGTGGGTGAAATGAGGACCCAGACTGTGAGGGCGATATACTGACTCTGTAAACCGCTTAGCGAGGGCCGAAAGCCCTATGAAGCGGTATATAAATCGAACTGCTATTGCTATTGCTATGACCATGGGGGTCCTTTTTTTTTGCTCTGGTAGTCAAGAGTTGAGATTAAAATCAGATTTGCAGGAAAAAAAATCCATCCTTCCTTCCTTCCTTCCTTCCTTCCTTCCTTCCTTCCTTCCTTCCTTCCTTCCTTCCTTC